TGTAAGGGATTGCACTGTATTCTTATATACATAACGGCAATTTTGAAAAAGTTTATTTCATAAAATTAGGATTAATTTATTTATTCCGACTAAACTGACTCTGTTAACTGTAACAAGGTTATACCCTGAAGCGGAATCAATCACTTTTTCCTTCTTCCTTACACATATATGTATATTTATCCTTCTATTTATTATTGATGGAGGGGATGAATCCGACGCATGCGCACAACGTTCAAAGTACGCTGAGAAAGAGAGAGAAGTATATTCCCGCACCGTGGTTCTGGGACATGGACTTCTCTCTCATCTAGCCATATAGTAGTATTACATATATGCTTGAAACAAGGCCGCTATTTATCCAATCTAACAGCTGATGCATCGTTTTCGATAGCGTACGTATGTGTCGTACGTATGTAGTACATCAGTGATAAGAAGAATTATCGGAAATGAGCTGAGCAGTAAAAGGATGTAAGAATTACATAACCGGAAAACGAGAAATATGCCAGGAAGAAAAGTTCAATATGCTTCTCTTTCCCGAAGGATAATGCAATGGTTTTGAAGAGGCTGGAAGTTTGCAGGAAACAAGACCTCTCCGTTGCCAATACATTCCCATTGTTCTTTGTTTTTTTCCTTATATTTCTTTTATTGGCCCTTATATCTCTGACTGCCTATTTAAATTTTCCTCGTTTTGATGACGTCTACTTTGAGACAATTCTTATTGGTCACTTCTTTGTCACGTGATTTCTAGATGCGCAATAACATACCCTTGTATGTATGTATATCATGTGAGTGCATGTGTGTATTGATGTATGAACGAGTATGCTGCGGACTTGTGTCGAAGCCGCCGTACTAAATTTACTGCGCATCATTATACACACAAGGCATCTATAGGGCTGCGTTCAGAAATTACACCTAAGTAATTCTAGGCTATAGTTTACGTTAGAGACCTAGAAAACAGAGATTTTGCATCAACTGTCATCAGCTTATTGGTCAAGATCACTTATATTGAATTAAAATGGTGATGGTTACCTAACCCAACCGACGCAATGTCGCATCTCTGTTTTCTAGGCCTCTAGTTTACGTTACGTATATTATAGTAAAAATGCACCCAAAAGTTATCTGAGCATGATTCCTGAACGCACCCTAGTATAGATGCTGTGATCAGATGCATGATATAAAAGAGCTCTGATACAATAATGTCAACAATCACAATTCAATGAAAACGGATTAACAGAGTGCTATTTACATGCTAAAGATACATGTGACAGTTGCACATTAAAATTACAAAACAAGATGAGAGCTATATTGATATTCGATCATCTGAATGATGTGTTATTTGTAAAATGCAATAAAAAATTTGCAATTCATATTATGAAGCTGGCGAGGATACAGGGATTGCTCGATGACGATAAGGTAAATTAATAACCTTGAGATTTGATAACAATGAAATAATTAATTTTGAGGTTTATAACCTCTTATTGAGCTGTAGTTATTCTCCGAATATTTAAGAAAGAAGAAATAAAAAAATTGTGTATGAAAAAATTATTTCAAGAAACGAAACATTTGTATGCGCGATGGGTTAGTATCAATTAATCAAAGAATAACAACAAGTACTTCTTGTAGGGTATCATAGACTTGGAAGAGTCTATACCGAGTCCTAACATGATAATGCAATTATTTTCACCTATAGTCACCTCACAACATGTGATGGCTTCGCAGTTTGGAAATTCTTATACTTCTATGAAGTTCCAGGATGGAACTAATATGGTATTTGATGAGTACATTGGCTATACCTTCATATATATCGCTGCAAAAGATGTAGAACTCATGAGACGTACGCTAGGAGTATGCGTATCTATTGTACGACATGTGTGTGGTCCAGATATTGCAATGTTAGTATATAGCTAATAGATTAATTGATACAATACAATAGATAGGACTGTGTGTGTTTGAGCACATATTTAAAATACTTTTATTTGAAAAACAGTATTTATAACACAATTGTATTTTGTATTTCAGCAAAATTCATGAAAGTATTTTATATTTCAAATACTAAGATTGACAATCAATCTTATTATTTAATTATAAAATACAAAATACAATTGTATTATAAATAGTGTATTTAAAACAAGAGTATTTCAAATATATGTTCAGTTCTGATAATAGATAAATAATTAAATAAAAAAATATATAAATGTTAAATTACTTGGGATATACTTCATATAATAAATTGTATTTTTTAATTTTTTAAAAAATCCTTAAGATTACAAATTTCAAGAGCAAATCTCAAGAGCTAGTGTTTAATTGTACATATATTGTGATTAGATAATTGTTAATAAAATAGTTACAACGTTGGTTATAACTGATTATTAATCGCTTTGGTCTTCTTTATAGATTAAAGACCAACTGGCAGAAGATGTGTTTAGTGTCTTCTCTGTTGGATGCGTGGTCTAATCTAAGAAATTGTGAACAAAGCATGTTGACTGAAGCAGTGGAACAATTGTCTGTAAATGCAGAAGTGGCATCTTCAATTCTCAAGGTGCTGCACGATGCATGTGACAAGCTGAAAAATTCACAGTCTGAATTTAGCAATCTGCATTTACTGCTCCTGGTGGGATCAAAGTTTCTATCATTGTACTCCAGCAAGAACGCTCACGATCTGTGTGCTTCAGATATTTTGTTGATGACCCTGCTATGCTGGGTAGTGAATAAAAAGCGAAAGCAAAATCGGTCAGAAAGCAATGATGATTGCTATGATAATGATATCTTGTTACCAGAAAGCAGCATTTTGAAAAGCGATGAAACAAAATTAAACTTTGGAGCTAAGCTGGCCACTCCTACTTCAGAGGACATTACGGATCTCTTTAGTAGGTTTTTGCGGCATAGTTACTTTTGGTAATGGATATGTATTTTTGTTTGGCATAATTGAACATTTTTTAATGAATAAATGATAAATTCTTAAAATAAATAATAACTAGCCTTTATTTGTTGCAGGAGGTTCCAGGGAATCTTCTGTGAACGAAGGTCTCTCATCATTAACTAATGATGATCTCTACAGCCAATCATTTCTCCTCGGCTGTCAGCATAACTATACAGCTAATGCAGTTCACATCTTCGAATTATCAGATTCCATTAACTTGATAACAATTGTTGAAGCAACAAATCTGTCCATTTCTTCTGGTTTATGTGATAGTTTCCATTATTTAAATCTAATAAACAATCTACAGTTTCAACGAGACATCGATGAGATGAAACCAGCCTTTGAGAATCTTGATGCAGCAATTAAAAAAGTGCTGGAAGGAATTAAAAAGAATCGTTCTAATGTGGGAAATGATGTCGATATGTGTCAGAAAAGATTGCAGACCAAATGGGATTTTGTTCGGAAAAAGTACAGTGATCTTCTGCGCTCCAGAGATCCCGAAGTGGTCTTACAGATTGAAGCTAATACTTCTGGCTTTGTAGAGACTTTGAAAGAATTATTGCGTCTAACCTGTTTTGACAAGAACTTCCTGAAGCAAGGAATTGATGTTTTGACAACGATTGGCAGACTTGTGAAACAGAAACTAAATGATTTCAGTGACTTCCTGAAAGTCAAAGCTCTAAAAAACTTCACGCTGGGATCATATCCTTTTTTAAACTTGAAGAGGCACTATTTCGTGACTTTTCTTCTCTGAGGAATTTTTTTAATATTTTACAAAGTTTATATATTCTTTAAATCTAATTTTTTTTTTAGATTATTATTTACAAATGGTCTAAATAAAGTCTAACGATTAATATAAAATCTTAATATAAAGGAATCATGTTATAACAATAAAAGAATGATATTAATATACAAAATTTTAATTACATGCTACTTTCTTTAGAAAAATTAAATTAAAGAAAAATGATTTTTAAGTTTTTACATATCAGTTAGAATATACAGGGTGTCCCATTTTAATCTATCGGTCGAAATATCTCCTAAAATACGCCAGCTATAAAAAAATGTTTCAAATAAAAATGGAATGGTGTCGAGGGGGACACATTTTAGTCATATTGTTTTTTTTCTAAGTGGAGGCGCTAAAAAGATATGAAGGTCACCTCCACTTTTTTAAATGGAATTATGTAATTTTTTTTAGATAACGTGATTCCTCTAACATTGCATGGGCAACTTTTTTATTTTGTATGCCTCCTTAATGTTATTCGTTTTTCCACAAGAACTTCCCTAACTATCAACAAATATCTTGAGGAATTTCCAGGTCTAGTGCATTTCATCTACATCGACAGGAATACCCATAGACTTGTAGCGCCTACACTAGACTTCACGAGCACGGAAACGCTCGCTCTCACAATGAAAAAAGTAAGTTCTCTCTATCAAGATAAATTAATTATATCCTTTTTTTTTGTATTATATTTTATATTTGATTTAATAATATATATTATAAATATATTATATAATAATATGTATATATAGTATATATATGTATACATATTTATGCATTAGTTCAAAGATGTAACTACAAATGGCTTCTGATAAAATTATAAAAAAGAATAAGTTCATACAGAAATATTTGTTTTTATATAGATCTGGAACATGGTTGAACAAAGTAGAATGCATTTACAAGAAGGTCATCTATCAGTTATGTGGAAAGATACTACATTCAATTATTCCTACTTTTTATGGTTTGAAGATAATTCCGTACGTGCAATTTTATTATTTAAATATATATTTCATTTTATGCCAAAGTAACATATAAAATATAGATGTATATATAAATAAATATTAATCTTTTGATATCTACAGGGATGTTCACCACCGAAGTGTAAAGTCTATCTTAACTATGTCATGAAAAATTTCCCAGTACCAGGTATACTTTGTGGAGATTATTACAGGTAATATTTTAAACTTAAATTCTTTAATTAAATATTTTTTGTGTATTTAATTTGTAATTAAAAATATAAAAATATATTTAATTATCAAAAGAATTTTACATTAATTAATGAAATAGTATAAAGTTTATATATAATATCATGAACAATTCAAATATCTAATTCTTTTCATGTGCAGAAAATTAACAGAGACGTGTTTTCCAAAACTCTCGCCGAACAAAGTACGGATCTATGAATTATACTGTGTACACTTAGGACTGACTACATCAACTTGCGTTCTGGAACATTCTCGTAGACTGGCAGCCACCATCTGGGAAGTCACCGGCGTACCAAACAATCTTGCGGATATATTCTAAAATCGTATTTCCTAACTAAAGAGTTTTAATTAGTTCTGTATAATTTTAACTTGATTTTCTCTAGATTTTTTAAATTTCAATGTTGAATTTCTATACATCTTTAATTTTAAATTCTTTAGAGTATCTTTTAAAATACTTCAATTTCTCTGTGATATTTAGATTTCTAAACACGTTCTTTTAAACGTTTGTATAATTTTTGGATCTTTTCACAATGTTAATTTCGTACTTCTTTCTCTTTGGTCGTTGTAGGTTGTAGTTACAGATCATAAAACTCAAAATTCACCAAGAATATGATAAAAATGCACAGTTGCAATTACGACATTTCAAGTTTAATAGTTCCACATTAATCAATATGAAATAGCAAATTTCGATAACGAGGGTAATAACGGAAAGTTTTCCTTGTTTATTTATAAAACATTTTACTTATTTATATTATAAATGTTATATATATATATATGTATATTCCTATATGTAGATGAACTAAGTAGGATATTATTAACTTATGTAATTAAAATCACAAGTGTTATCAATTGTTTTATTTATACAGCACAAAATGAAATAACAATCATTTTGTGCCCTTTATTTACAAAATATATTTTATAATCAGTGCATATTAATTAAAAGCTTACATATTTTGTAATAAAACATGTTCAACTTCATATAGATATTTAATGGCACAATAAACGATATAAATCAAATGACAAATATTAAATAAGAAACAAAATTGGTAATTAATCTTTTATCGAATCTTTAATTATTTTCGAATTTTTTTCGCCAAATTTAAGGCACCTATAAATATAATAATTGATACAAAAATCGCTTCTAATTGCCAAGTAAACATATTTTCCTCTCAAAAAATTAAACACAACTTTCGTTAGATTTCTCTTAATTCTTTTAAACTCTCAAACTTTTATCTTCTAAGGTATTTTTATATTTTCTTCAATTTCCTTCGATCCTGCACTTCTTATAACACTAGAATATCTTTGTTCTTTATATTTCTTTCAGATTCTTTCAATTTTCGAATTTTTGAATATCTGGAATTTGAGAGAACCTGAAAGCACAATTTTTCCAGGCTTTGGTTTTTGCACTCAAATATCAAATGACGCCATTGTGTTACATTTGTCCAGATCTGTCTTTTTTGCTACCTGGCAAGACCTGGGATAAAATTAAGTACTATTGAAAAAAAACAAATTTACATTATATAGATGTAAATATTATCAATAAAATTTTGTTTGTAATTTATTTTACTTATTGAAAACTTGAAGTCTTTTCTTTCTTTAAAAAAAATTTTCTTTTAAAAAATTCTACACACATTTTCTTTGATTTAATTAAATATATAAATAAATAAAAAAAGTATTATTTCTGAATTTTCCTTTGTTTTTCAATTAGTTCTCATTTTTCAAGAAGATACTTTTTTAATGATCTTCTCATTCCTTTTCCCTTCCTATTTGTTTTCTTTGCCCCTAGCCCCTCACCTGAGAACAGAGGAGCTAAGGGATACAGCAGCAGAACATTCAGCGTCAGAGAAATCTTGTTCCGGAGTAATGCTTCTCTCTCGAGAATGCACTTGGGATGTGTTTGAATTATGACGTACTTTCTTCATTTCTCCTACCATGAAATCGAGATTACCTCGCCCTCGACCTCTACCTCTACCCATGCTTGCCTCATTATCTTCTTGACAGATTGACTCGGTGACAATTTCCGGAATAGAACGCTTACTATTAGTACAGGGAGAGTTCTGTGTATTTTGTTGCTGGTTGTTATCTTCCTGTGGATTGCCACGTCCCCAGCGACGTACTTTTTCCTGATTTGTAACACTTTTAGCGATACAAGCGGCAGTAGTATTGCGGGATTGTGTCCAGCTATTAGAGGTAACTGGCTGAGCCTAGGAAAATATTTTGTGCATTAAGATTAATACTTGTTTTAGAATTTGCAATTTTGGAATATTAATTTAAAAAATGTACTATAATATCTAACAACGAAATATTTAAAAAGTAGAGAAAATTGCGCCTGTATTAAATTTTTACTAAAATATTGATTTAAAAATGATTAAAAATCCATAAATTGAAAAATGTGCGATTGATTTAAGATATTCTATATTTAATTCAAATTTTTAAGATAACATACACAGGATGGGTTTTCTCTCTGGAGACGCTTATCATCGCTGATTTTCATCTCGTCTTTCGTCGAAAAATCTATTTTCTCTGAAAAGCAATTCTCCCTATTTGCTTTAAAAGTCTTCTCGTAGCTCTCACCGTTCACCTTTACTTTCCTGGACAATCGCTGCGCTGCGATCATTTTTAGTTCGCTCACTTGTCTCTCCAATTCAGCTACTTCTAGATCGGACTCACATACTTTCGGAATCAGTGACATCAGATGCCGTTCGGCGGCTTTTTGGATTGTCATAGCAGAATCTAATCCACTTTTCCTCGTCATATCTAACCTAAAGAATATATATCTAATTAGTAACTAATATAAAATTATATAGTTGCACGAGGTTGAAATATTAGATAATCTCAAAGTTAGTTTTACAAAATATTTTTATAAAATAAATATCCTTTGACAAAATTAAATATTGTATTGTATTTCATGTATTATATCAATAAACAAAAATTATAAGTTTTTTAATTTTGCGAAATGTAAAAAATATAACTTGATACAACGATTTAATTCACTCACTTTAAAGATTCTATCAGTTGAGTGAAGCCATCAGGTAAGCGTGTAGATTTCCTAACAGGTGTTGGCTTATAATCTGAGCCATCGTGTCTAGATGCATCATCACCTAAATTGTTTATTCTCAAAGGAATCGGTTCAAATATCCTAAAAGACAATTTTACATTAATACTTAAAAAATTCAGATAAAAAATTGGTCGTGTTCAAGTTGAATAATGCAGCTAGTAGTCTATTCACCGAGCGGTTGAATATGATTGGACTTATAAGTAAGAGAACCAATCATGTTCAATCGCTTGGCAAATAGGCTAATTGCTTTGCCAACTTAAATGAGTTTTTCCGATTCAAGTTCTTCAAATTTCTTATACGTGGTACTAACCCTCGCTTATGCCTTAAGAACACATGTCGGAACTTGTGGGTGCCACGTGTTTCGGAGATGGACGCATTGAGGAGACAAGTGAGAAAGAAATCTTCCCTATAATTATTTCCACTGGAGAAATGCGAGGCAAATTGCTTATGCAATATCTTGTCCCTCATTGTTGGGGTCAAATTACTGGTGTTTCTGCGGAAACGGAACCAACCAATCACCTGCTTGCTTTTGTCATCCATAAAATCCTTCAATTTCTCTTTGTTGATCCGACCACTAGAGTCGTACAAAAGATCACTCAGAGGACATGTCACAATGGTTTCCACATCTGAAAATGTTTATATAAAATTTTTAATAGTAGGATAAAGAATAGCAATAATAATAAAAATAAGAGTAATAGTGGCTATAGTTCAAGGAAGTTGATAAAGTTTTATCTTATTCCGGTTGTTAGTTTTTAGATTAGTCTTCTCAAGAATGTGGATAGTAGATTAGATATTTAAATATTTAGTTTCAATTAAGTTTTATCAATTATCAGATTATCTTATTCCGGTTTTAATTCATATTTTTAGATTAGTCTTCTCAACAATGTGTAGATAGTAGAATAGATATCTAAACATTTCAATTAAGGTATGACACATATAAATACAATTCAATATCTAAATATATTTTATAGTTTCTCTGTAAAAACATTACTGTAAATGTAGGTGACTTGAGACAGTATAGGTAACTTGGGACAGCATGTACTTTTGTTAAATTCAATTGTGGTATCAACCTATGAGTCTCCTAAAAAGTTTAAATTTTAAATTTTCTTTAATGACTCATGAATGGATACCACAATTGAATTTAACAAAAGTGTATGCTGTCTCAAGTTATCTGTACCGTCTTAAGTCATTTACATTCGTGGTATAATATCATTGTTATCTAAAATATATGATCACGAGGTAAAATAGCATTTATTATAGAGGTTATTATTTTAACATATAATTATTTATTCTATTTACATAGTTTTTATTAGATAACTATGTTCCTTTTTTGCACAAAAATACATATTAATCTTCTATTTTAACTTTCATGTATAATAAATTTGTTTTGGCAAAATTAATGATTTTTATAACTTCAAAACTCTGTTATGATGTAGTTAAAAATGTTTGTATTTACAATGAATTTATTTAAATTGTTAGTTTATTGAAAGATATATTACTGTAATTATATTACAGTGCATCTTTAAACTCATATCAAACTATAAAGAAAAATTAAAATACAACCAATCAGGACAAAGTAGCTGAGATTAAATTATCTTATTCTTGGAATTCTAATCTCTATTTCTCAGTCTTTAATGTATCTGATACAAGTTTCATTCATCGTTGACAGATTTCTTGACTTTCAAATAATCAAAAATATACCACCTTAAACACTTCACTGTTCTTTTTTCAACAGAGGAGGATCTTAAATCGTTTTAAATCTGATTTTATGTACAAAAAGCACCAAATGTTCTCTTTCATTGACTTTCGTGATAAAAATATTATTTTAAACGTTCGGAATACGCTCTTCTTATCTACACTTGCTGCAATTTAAAATGGATGTGTCGTCGTTCGAAACGCACCTTCTGCACTCGATTGCTCTTTTTCTCTTTTGTTGTTTACACGAAAGAATGAAAGATGCGAATTATCGGGGCGACTGTATGTACTTACTAATATGAATCTTGATGGTTTCCACTTGATTGTCAGAGTCGGTATAGGTCTTAACAATGAATTCGAGTGCCTCTCCAAGGAGAAAGCCCATCTGCAAGAATTACGAAACGTCATTACTCATTTGGCAAATGTATACGCATAGGTTATACGACGGTAGAAGCAACTCTGCCTTCCGAGGACGACATTTCTATGCAATGAAAAGTTATGAAATTTTATTAACAAATCGATATGCAATTCGTTTTACCTGCTCGCCGACGCTGCGTACATTTTCGTAGAACAGCAACGAAAGCGCCGCACCCGAAATAGTGACGAGCAAGTCGCCGTCCGCCATGTTGACGACGATCAGCCAGAGTGCTCTACTGCTCTGACGTTAGCGGGTTAGCCCGTCGCCGTTTATGCGCCAATCTGCAAAGTGCAACGTTGCGTTTAGAAAATTGAGAACATGTTTCATGTACTATATATATGTGTGTGGATGTATATAGTATTTAACATATGCATAATTTTTATCATTTTCTTATATAAAATGTACATTTATGTATAATTCTTTTTTGTCCTTTAGTTAAAAGTTAAATCATTGTAATATCTCATAATTTTCTAGATAAAAAAAAAAATAATTGTCAGAAGTGGGATTCGAACCCACGCCCACAGAAGTGGACTGCGACCTGAACGCAGCGCCTTAGACCGCTCGGCCATCCTGACTTTGTGCTCTCCTCCCGGCGATTAGGGCTCGATGAGAGTAAGACTCGAATTGCACGATCGAATGATTCAAACTAGAGCTCAACTTTGATATATTTAACAATTAGTGTAACAATCAGCTTCGCAAGATATCAGAATTTAAAAACTGTGTAGCTTGACCCTTGACCAATAATAAGGGATATGAGCCAAATATAATTGAAAATATATTATATGTATATGTGAAAATTAATGAAACTTTTAAATAAACTCGAATTTCTAATGAAAATTTGAAGAAACGAAAGCGATGCCTCGAATTGAATAAAATATCCTTATATAAAGTATCAAACAATTGCAGACCAATCGTAGACCCTTACTTAAAAAATAACGCTATTCAAATAAGTCTTTTTTTTTCCAGAAAAGAGAAAAGCATATTGTTTAATTTAGCAGGAAAGTTGTATATTTCAACTTGAGACAAAAAATTATTTACTAATCAAATAACATTGGAAAAAAGAATATGTATACTTTTAGAAACAAAATCAAACATTTTTTATTTTTGTTTGACAACTTTTAAAATCCAACTTTTTTAAGTCATGATCGATTTTGATATCTTACAAAATATAATGAATTCAGAATAATTTATCAAAAGTAACATAACTCGAAATATCACCAAAGGTTAATTTGTATTTACTTTGATCAATAAATTCAAAATAAAAACTTTTTCTTAAAACTTAAAGCGCTAAAATTTAACTTTAAATATTCTGTAGAAGACTCCTTTTTATTTATAAAGTTGACAATTCATATTTTTGTAAAAAGTGTAACGATCTCTTTGAAGAAACCCTAAGAATGACACAAGTGCTATTTGATAGACGAACTGTGAAGTTATTAAGTTGTAGTTTACTTTTCATTGTGTGATTAATAAAGTAATATTTACTACTTATTACTCATTTATAGTAATATAAATTTAAAAATATTTTTTAAGTCTGGTCACACTTTCAAAGTAAAGGAACACAATAGTCTTTTATTTCAATTTTTATTTATTATGAAGTTATTTTATTTATTATGAAGTTATTAGTCGGTACTTAATATTTACTTCAAGACTCTTAAGTAATAGTATATAGCTTCGTCATTAGTTGTTAATATCCTTGTACTAAAAATTATGTTCAAGACAATCCTAAAGAATTGACTATGAATAAGCTTTTGATTGATTCTCAAAAATTCAAATATTATTTGTATCAAATTCAATTTTTTCTAATATTAAAATATGCATAAATGTGTATATTCTTTAAATATTTATTTTAAAATTAATTAATTCATATAATATTCATGTTACATTCATTCTTTCGCGCCCCAGCAAGAATTACTAAAGTCTCTGAAATACCAATCCCTTACCAACGACAGCTAAAAAAAAAAAGAAATTTCCAACCAATTTGCATAATTCAGGAATACAAATACAATAAATTTCATTTTTTTTTGTAATAATATATTTGACGCATAATGCTATTACATTTTCTGGCTTTAGCTTTTTCAGAAAATATTTTGATTACGTTATTCTATATTTACAAGAGTAGCGCTGCACTTATTAAAATTTTACGCTCCTCCAAATGTTGCGCCCTACGCTGGAGCGTACTTGCTTAGAGCCTCGTAACACCTCCGTTTAGAACGTTAATTTTCGGACTTTGTAAAGTTAGACCCGGATATCAGATTTAATTCAGACTATTCATGAGTGCGTATATTAAAAAGCTAAGGTAAATTTCGTTTTCCATCTACTGGACCTTGGATCCATGAATCTCTGGATTACTCTAAAACGATTTGTTGCATTCTTGAACTAAGACCTTTGTTCTTATCGCTTATTTGACTTTTGGAATGTATGAATCAGATCGCACGATCTTCAGACCGGTAAAGCGCCAGAACAACATGAGCCATATCTGTGGATTTATCTCTTGTTAATATTCATTAATTTCCTATTAATATTCATTTCGCCATGTCGTTCTCGCGCCTCGAAGCAGTTGCGAACAATCCAATTAGAATACAGTAAGCGTGAACACTGTCACGCAAGATACTTGGTCCCATCTCTACACACTGATTCGCCCAAAATACTCCGCGAAAATCGTGCACGCAGTCCAAGCGTATCTACAGAGCCTCACACAGGAACAAGAGATACATATATATATATATATATATATATATATTTTAAGATTGACTATATTTGCAGCCGCGAATATCGGCGCACATGATGTAAGCCCACAGTGATCCCGACAGTGTCGTGATTGCTTGCTGCTAATCACCTCCATCGATATTTATTGTATCTCGTTGTTGTGTTTCTATCGTTTCTTCATCTCTTTTTTTTTGCGAACAATGACCGAACATGCCTGGGACTATGTCGGGGAAAAATGGGAGCACATTGACCAATCGGTGAGTCGATGATCCCTCCCTCCTTTCATGGCATCCTTGACCTTCGTTGCGTAAGTACACAAATTTTTTGTGCAAAACTGTTTATTCGTTCTTAATATACCTCATGTAATGAACCCGAATAACCCTAAATGTTTTATACAAAAAGCACGTGAACTTGATATCATATTTATAATATGGAAGAATATTTGATATTTTCGTATCAGAAAACAGGATTGTTTCTAAGCATAATTATTTCTAAGCAATGATATCGTTATTTCCGTCATACCAAAGTTAATCTGCGGAAAGGAGATCCTCGAAATCTATATCGTTATCTAATTAACGACAATAAGATCGTGCTCGCAATTGCAGACATGAATAATCATAAATTTCAATCTTCGTACTCTCAAGTATATTTTACATAACATTTTTATTTTTATTATTTGTATATAGACTATCACAGCGGCTCGTCATTGTACGTGTCACAATGAAAAACCGTTAACAGAACGAAAAAGGAACAATTAAATTGTGAACTAATGCGCACAAATCAATTCTCTTCCTTGAAATCGAGCCGCAATTTTTCTTACAGCCATCTATTTTTAAAAAATATCTTAGCGCTAAATAAGCGTTTCTTCTAACTAAAAAAATTTTTTTTTAAATACATATTTTATTGATGCTATAAAGATACGATAGTTTATAAGACAGTTCAAAGAGATATAACTGTTTATTTAGGACTGTTCAAAGATATGATTTATTAGACAGTTTTACTGGACTGTTTGTCTTCAATATGTGACGTGGCGTGACATAAATCCATATATTTCCTCTTGCTAATTGAGAATCTATTCTACTTTTAATTTTTCTACTGCTAAACTGTTCTGTATTTTCATAAACCTGAAAATAGGAACATCTCTCTCGAGAATCTTTCCAATATCTTTAATATTTTGAATGTTAAGTGAAAAAGTATATTTTTTTCTTAAAATAATGCGAAATTTTGCAATACATTTGAATTTCGTACCAGGAAATTACGACAAAACAATGCCTGCTCGTAGATGTAGAATGACCCAGTAGAAAGTAAAATGGCGGGGTGTTTGAATTTTTTGTCCCGAGAGGTACATTTTGAAGATCAGATATTTAGAGAACTATCAAAGTTTTTTCAATAATTAGTTACCAAATATAGATGTTTCGTGTAAAATTGCTAGCATCTAATATCACATTTGATGTAATTTATTCGGCATCTTTCTGCTTCTTCAGAAGAGATCATAATTTCAATAATAAAATATGGGAAATCACTGCTTTTTGAGAAATCTACTTTTAAGTTTCAGAATTTGAGGAAGGGGCATAATATGATTTTCCAATCTTTCATCTTTTCTTTTTTCAATTCACTTAAAGTACTATTTTTTTCATCTATTAGTTCTAAAGCCTGTTCTACAATAAGATCGTAAGCCATAAGTCGTAAAAAATTAACCAATAATAGTCAATTATTTTTTTCACATTCAATTATGATTGGCCAATTTCTTACGGTTTACGACTTGCGACCCTATTGTAGAACAGGCTTATAATACGATATTACGTTTCGTTTTTCTTTCTTTCGCACGAAATTATAAACTCTTAAAATCTGGTGATAGGAATGATTTCGGCTGGCACGTTCATTGATTTTCAATTCTCATGCGCATTATATTTCGAAAGACGAACACCTTCAGATGGCGCTAATAACGTGCCGGATAAAATTATTTCGCCAAGTATTTATTCAGGGTCAGATGTCTCTTGATATCGTTCTTGGACAGTCAATAATCGCGCAGCAATCGTGTGCAAGGATCAGTTCCGGAATTATCATTATACTAGGAAAGTGTAAGAGAAAGATCAGGATCAAGGTCAAGGTCAGAAAAGGTATCAAGGTGAGCTGACAAAATGAAGACGAAAAACAGGTCGTTGTTCAGCAGAATATGCAGGTGTTACAGCAAGAAAGAAACATTAGATATACGGAGATATTCGAGAAGAGATTCTGAAACGTCTTATCGGGATCCGGAAATGTATTTAAATCCGACAGATGAGGTAATTTACATGTTTCTTTTTGTATAAGATTTTCCATGATAAAAACACATCATGATTCAGATGTCATTATTCCAATATTCCTCGAATATTAATTGGATTTTAATTTTCTTCGCACAATTATGAATTTCCTATTACTGTGAATTTAATTATCATAATAATTAAAAGAGGAGAATAATTGTATTGTTAGTGATGCGTTATAAAAGTGCATTTGGTGCCTCTTATTAGTTGTAATTTGTTTCCTGTTTTTTTGTGTATTTGTTTTTTTTTCTAATGAGACTTCATTACAAATTTAATTTAAAAAATAATTCGTGTTGATAATTTTATTGTAATTTCATTATATAAGATCTTAGGAAAAACATTACAGAGCATTTTTATTTCAGTAATCGTATCCAATTTATATATATATTATCTTTGTATTATATATAATACAATGTTAATTTTTTAAAAGAAAAATATTAATTTGAAAAATTCTTTTAAGATTTTAAGAGGAGCTATTTTGCTCATGTTTTTTTACGATACTTTCATAAAACTATTGAAAATTTTGAAAATACATATTTTAAGAAGATTTTAATGAAAAATACAGTAAAATAACCTTTTATTTACATACAAAAAGAGAAATATGGTTTAATAGATTTCTCTTTTTGTTTTGATTATTGATTTTCGAGAGTAGTATGTTTAGTTTGAAAATAACCTCAACGCATGTCATTACGATATCACAATACATATGTCATCATAAAATATATTTCGTTTCTAACACCTTCTCAAAAATTATTTATATTTTTAAACAACATATTTGTTTCTGTTTACTTATGGAACAAGGATATGTGCCCGGCGCAAATTTGGTAATTTTCATATGATCAACAAACATAATGTTAGGCAGGTTATGATTTTTTTTAAAATATGTAATACAAAATATAAAATAAAATATATTAAAAATAAATTGAAATTTTACGATTTCGCAAAAAAATATGTAACTATAACCGAAAATAATTTAAAATTTCATAATTGTCAATAATTAAAAATTTTTTATCAAATATATTTGCTTACGTAAGAAATTATATCAACCAGCTAGCACAATCTTGGCACAATGATTCCAGCCAGTTACGGTGTTTATTCGAAGGCCTTGTTGCAAGAGCAATGAAATGGAAATGTGCACCCCAGAAGTGTCTAAACAGGCAATCCAATCTTTATATTATACTAAATTAGTTTATGTAGAATTAATATAATCAAACAATTTAATTAATAATAGAATCAGAAAGTACAAAACTAAATATAGAGAAAGAGAGACATAAAGAGACATATTGAAAGAGAGAAATAATTGCGAAAGAGTAATACAAAATATATTAAGATAACAAATATATATATTTTAAAGATAATAATATTACCTTTCTCCAAAATATATATCTTCATTTGTCATAAAAAAATATTTACAAATTTTTATAGAATCGTAACAAATCAAGAAAGATTCACATTTTCACAAAATTATATTTTTACGATGTGACAAGAACAGCTCGTTTTCTCTTAATAATTTTTTCATTTAGAAGAGAGTCATATTAACGTAAAAAAGTAGAAATTAAGTCTTCTTATTTTGTGTGATAATATAAGCTAATGAATTAATTTAATTTAACACAATTTTAATTTTTTCTAAGAAAAAATTTTAATTTTTTCCTTAAATTATTATTTAAATAGTAGTGATCTACACAAAGAATGAGAATCGATATTTTAAAATGTACTGAATCCGTCTTTAAAATCGGTCCTACATATATATTATACTTTGAAAAAAAATATTTCAACACAACGACCCAATGACGAAGTTTCAAACCCTAATTAAGATTAAAGATATCTAAATTCTTGTTTTTCAAAGAACGATATATGACAGTGACTCATTAGGAAAAAATTTACGCTGTTAGCAAAAGAGGGACTGTGCGAGCAAGCTATTTTTCGTTACCTCCTATTTTTGTCGCCGAACGCGTTTGATAAATGCATATCATTGAGATTAATGAATGCGGAATATGTTTTGTATTGTTTACGTAATATTTAATGCAACGCGAAACTTTTAATCGGAATACGTTATTGATGAAGTAGTTAATACGTTGCTAAATAATAATAGCGCGCGTTTGACGTACAGTGTGACGTCATCAACGTTGCATATTAATAACGTTATGAATGTTATCTCACTCCGTTCATCAAAGAGGATCTTAGAGTGAAAAAGAATTCTCGGTTTGTCACATTGTAACATTATTGCATTTTTCTCTCTCCACGTCTCAGTAAGTCTTAGTTTTCGGAAACGTTTCCAAAAATTAAAAAATTTTTCTTAACTCGGCGTGAATGAGGTGGGTATCTTATATCCATCATATATTTATTCAAAGATTTTGCTTATACTATATAATAATACTACATAATGATTCGTTATTATATATTATATTACTTTCTCTCCGCATCCTTTCTTCTCTCCAGCTACTAAGAGCGGAGAGAGTTCCACGAAACACAATAACAAAAATATTTAAAAATGTCTAGATATGAGATACCCGACCTCACTCACGCTGGATTAAATAATCTCTCTACTTTTTTCTTCTTACATAAATCGTAGGTGTAATGTAGCATCTTTTACTCTAATTTGTGTTTTTATTATTTATATATTTTAATTGTCTTACGCGCGCGTACGTATAAAAAAAATTTTAGAAAAATAAATGATGAATTATTTATTAAAAATTATAAATTATTTATTATCAAAAATGAATCGTTAATTAGTTATCAATCAATTCGATCCTTGGATCACTCATCAGCGCTTTTCGAATACATTTTCCTCAATATATGACTTAAAATTCTTTTTACCGAATAATTTTTTATATTATATTTCTTCGCTCTCTATTCGTGTTTTTTCTTCTTCATTTTAGCTTTTTTTCTTTCCTTGAGGCGATCTTTTAAGGATTAAGGATACTTTTTTCTTTCTACTACTTATTTCTTCTACTATCTGTTTTTTCCTCTCTCAACTGTTTATTATTAAAAATAAACCCTTTTTAAGTTGGAATAATTGAAAAATCAAATTTATTTAAGCATTCTATTACATCGATGAAGAAATTGTAAATTAGTAATCTTATATTTTCAATGTTTTGTTCTAACTGATTAGAAATCTTTAAGATCTTTCACATAACACGCATTTTCACCATTTTTTCTGCTTTCTTTTTTCAATTGCGAACGGAAAAAAAATTGTCTAAAAAATTAAACCATGCGTTTATGTAGTTAATCAAGATGCTTCAGTTTGACGTTGCTATTAGCTGCATCGATGATTGGTCGCCGTATGTCACGTATTGTATTATATTACTGTGCACCGTACATAGAAGTAATGATTGTAACAACAACGTACATACATATTATGTAACATCGCCGCGACGATCTTGTTTTATGCGACGTTCGAAACGTTTTAAACTAAATTCTATCTGTCTTCACTTCGATTATATACAATTATAAAACCTATTCTTGTCGCATTAAATACGACGCATTCAACTACAAGGCTAAACTGCTAAACTGTTATCTAAAGTACTAGGTCGTTGCATATAAAATGTTGCAAAAGTTTTACAATACACATTCGCACAAATGTTTCGCGATAACCAGGTATTGCGTGTTAAAGCGATAATTTTTGTGCAAGAACTTTTTGTTTTATTTTTCGTGAAAAATTTGCAATTTTTCAAATTAACAATGAATTCGGAAAAATGTGAAAAAATTAGGAAATTCTCGTACACACACATACACAATATTCTCTTTATGATTTTAAAATAAGATACGCAATGTAAAAACACGTGAGAAAAAATTTTGTTAACTTTTAGAAGAAAATATCGGAGTTTTTGAATGAAATTCTTACAATTTTTGAAACAATACATAAAAAATTGAACACCTCTCGAGTTTAAAGACGCGCATGTGTACAAAATTATGCATATAAGCTCGAAATATGTACGTAGATATGCGTCTTTCTTTTCCAGCAAAGATAGGACGAAAAAGAGAAAAAAAGAGAAAGGTATTTAAAAATATATGCCAGAACTGGATTCCTTACAGCACGTTTTCTGCTATGTAAATAATCGGCGAGAGAAGGGGAAGGGACACAGCGAACGTTAACCGCAGTTTCTTCGCTCAATTTAGAAATATTATTTTCGCGACACAAAAAGTACATATATACATATATCGAGGATTTTTTTACATTTATTGTTCTTCTACGAAGCGAATGCATTATATGTTTGCGCAATCGGAGAAACGTATCGTCAGAGAGTGATAACCTTAACAAAATATCGGAGGCCTAAGACAATCTTATCGAAACACCCGGACTTTAATCGTCGTTGATAATTAATACAGAAGGAAAAACAACAGAATTTTATGCACAAAAGTTTACACGTATATGACGTTCCGGCTTTTATCAAGCCACGAAAATCCGTTGAGATCTATCGATAAACGATATAATCGGAAATATGTTTATATCGTTGTTTAGAGTTTATTGAACAGAGTCATCGATAAAACTGATTGAATTACTCTGACAGAATTCTCAACATCCAGAGATGCCATAAGTTCATTAAAAATAACCGGATCTCATTCAATATCAGTAGATAAAACTGGATTTTTTTTGGATAAGAATCGCTCTGTTGTAATGTATAATTGGTAAAACAGAAACAAAATATACAAATAATCTTATTCGTATAGCTCGCGGTGCAATGTCATTATGGCGACGTAAAAAATACTGTTTACCGTCTATCTGAATGGTTCATTCTAGCTAATGGTTCGTTGGTTTTCCCGCGATAATGCAAATATACACAACGCATCATATTCACAATGCGGAGCATTATTCCTGTTAGAATGAAAACTGTCATCAAGAAGTAGGAAAAGATATCACAAGATAACTGGAGATAGCTCAGGAAGGAAATGACTATCAGAATAGGATGATTTAACAAATAATAACGTACCGAGAAAATTTATTTCTTAATTTATTATTAAAACACAGATTTATATAAAAT